CACCTCATGGTAGGTGTTCTGACTACAAAAAAAAAAAAAAAAAAAAAATCAAACCAAACCAAACCAAAACAAACCAAAAACAAAGAAAAACCCAAAGGAACACAAGGAAACTAGGAGGTGTTGAAGGTGTTAATTATGGTGAGGATACCACTAGGTGTTTACATCTGCCTGAACTCATCAAATTGCACGTTCAACATGTGCAGTTCTTTGTATATCAATTGTACCTAATAAAGCTGTTAAAAGTAACAATGAAAACATAAGGCTCATTGATATAAGTGTACAGAAATAAACATGCCCCCATATATGGGCTGGACACCTCCCCTAGCACATTGCTAATTTCAATGATTGTATCTTTCATTTCTAGGAGTTTTACTTTTAAACAAATCTGCCTGGCCATTTTTATAAATCTCATTCCCTTTTATGTATTTTTGTACTAATTTCTTTCTTTGAAATATTTATTAGACTTAATACTTTCTACTACTTGTTAACATTTATTATTTCTATGGATTTTTCATCCGTAGTGGCTGGTTTTGTTGTGTGTAGACACCATGTGCCTTGCCACCTTATCTGTGGAAACGCTTCGAAGATGGAGTTTAAAGAGCTGTCCTGTAGAAAGAATTTATATTTACTGCTGTCAGGTGCTGGTGGGGTAGGGAGTGGGCCACAGGACAGAGGCACCAGCAAACCAAGAATCTTTTCATCTAAATTTTCACCTTTTTATTTTTTAAGGTTTACACAGGTACTGAGACCAGAAGGTCCTAAATCTTTGTGAGTGCAGAATTATGGCTAGTAGCTTTCTGGATATTTATTCTCCAACCAGATCTAAGGATGAGACAAGGAAGTATCTCCATGCCCCTTTGAAAGTGTGATCTTTGGGGAATCCAAGCTTTAGGGTTTTTCCCCCATCTTTTTGGTACCCTGATCCTGGGTCCAATGTGAGTAGTGTGGCAGGTGCCCAGGAGAGGAATGTTGTCTCAGGCACTTGCTTATCTCTCTGCATGTGTGTTTTCTCATTGTTTCTGGCCTTTGGGGATTTCCCTGATAAGCTTGCATGTTTAGCCATGCATTACATTAAAAACAATTACTTTATATGTTACTTTTGTGTGTGTGTGTGTGAATGGGGGGTATTCTCTCCTGGGAGGATTTCTTTGGACACCTAAGGCATTGTATTGTCAGATTCAGTTCTGATTGATTTTCTACCTTGTTTCATCTTTACAATAATACCACAAAATAGCTATTATGTCCCCCTTTATTATAAATATAGAAAAGGGAATCAGCAAGAGCAGCTGATTGCTTGCTGAAGATTATATACGTCAGGAGCACAACTGGGATTTAATACTGTGTCTGCCAGGCCACGAAAGCTCTTTCCTGCCCTGGATTTTTACTGCCCTGGATTTTTTTTTTTCCTGGGCCTTGATATAGCATTATATCATGCACATTATACCAGAGATTTTTGCCCGTTTCACCCCCTCGTGCACACCTCCATATAAAGCAGAGCCGGCACGTAGGAGAAGGTCGATAAGTACTCATCAGATCAACAAATAAGGGACTTTTTATGCTACCATATAAGCATCATGATAATTCTGTGGCTGTGTAATGTATCATTGCATTGATTAATTGGGGCAGTGTATTTTTAACTAACATACTGTAACAGCAGTCATGTAAGTGCAAAAATCCTCAGAAACTGGTCAATTATTTTATTTTCTGGTGCAGTTTCTGTCCCATGGTGCCCCAGTCCTTTTCAGTGCTTTTACTGTTTCTTTTCTTTTCTTTTCTTTTCTTTTCTTTTCTTTTCTTTTCTTTTCTTTTCTTTTCTTTTCTTTTCTCTTCTTTTCTTTTCTCTTTTCTTTTCCTCTTTCTCTTTCTTTCTTTCTTTCTTTCTTTATTTCTCTCTTTCTTTTCTTTCTTTCAGCAAGTCACATCTCAGGAGATGTCTGCATTTCAACTGTGTGCATGGAGCCGGTGTGCACCCTGTTCCTGGTTGTGAGAGCTCTGGAGATACTTTCCCTTTCATCTACGAACTGTTCTTCTCAGAGATTAGTCATGACAGCAACGTGATCTTAGGCATTTCTTCTGCTGTGCAGCTGACTGTGAAGCCAAGTAAAAGGGCAAACTATTTATAAATCAAGCGGTTACAGGTGCAGAGAATAGATAAGAGTTTAGCTTTGTCCAGGTTGGGAGACCATTCTTACTGAATTTCCTTGTTTAGGGTATGCGAGGGCAGACTCAAATTTAGAGTCAGGGTTAGGGTTTTTTCAAAGAGCCTGTACCAGAGCTGAACTTACTCCCACCTAAGCTGCTTGCAAAGTCTGCCAGTGTCAGAGTCTCTATTGTTGGTTGATTTTCTTTTCATTTAACAACTGTTTTACTAAGTAGCTGCTATAAGCTAACACCATGATAGGAGGTGATAAATTTGGCAAGGAAAACAACAAATTCAGTAATATATAAGAATACTTTCTCTGGCTTATAAATGTGAAAAGAGCTAGGTGTGCACCCGGAAGAGAGCCGTTCCCTCTCCAGTGGCCAAGTATGGCTCCACAGACCCGCCTTCTACTTGAGACAGCCCTTGCCTTCCCCAGGTATCCCCAAATGGCCTTGCCAGACTCAATCTTTCTCAACATTTTTCTCTTTCTCCATCCTTTTCCCACCCAATTTGGATTTGTAGCTGTTACTTGTTAACAGGCATTATTAATATTTATAATATAATATTACTAATTATCATCTACAATTAAGCCTCATTGATTTCAGGGTGCCTGGCTGAGTCAGTTGGTACAGCATCTGACTCTTGATCTCAGGGTCGTTAGATCAAGCCCCTCATTGGGCAGGAAGCCTACTTAAAAAAAAAAAA